GGGGGGGGGGGGGCATGGATGGGCCCTTTGCACCTTGGTCCCGTTCAAACGTTACTGGCCAGGTTCGCTTGGCTGACTTGCCTGATAGCTATCATTGCATCGCTTGTCGCTCCTTATCAAATGCAACTCTCGCGTGCGTTGTGTCTTTCCTTTTACGCATTGGCCGAATGCTGCGTTCGCCAGGGAACATTTTCCTGACGTCCAGGAAATATTTTTAATGAAAAACATGTGAAAGACTCGTCGTCCGTTACCCGATTTTTGGCCGAAACGTTGCTAAAAAAAGGGAAATTTTATAAAAAAAAATAAAATGGTCGATCTTGATTCGTACGACGTTGACTGCCGCTGCTCGCGCTGACCCGGACCCTGTTCCTGCGTAGTAGTCCCCAAGTCCATCCATCCAAGTCCCACCACCTCCCACCCAGCCTCAAGTCCATCCACTCTGTTCCTCTAGTCTCAAAGTAGCTTAGCTAGCTGATCGTTTTTGTTCGTCCGCGGGCGCACTCGACTATATCGACTAATATATTGCTGGCTCGGCTGAGAGGCTAATCGAGAGCAGAAGGAGAGAATGGCTCGTCTACGGGACACGTATTCCTTAAGCCTATACGTTTCTCTTTGGATGGATGGCACCCCTGTGCCAACCTGAACATGACTACGGCAATGTCAGAGTCTTCAGTTTCGATGCGCCGAGCTGTTCCCTCCTACCTCTTGCGCATGTTTACTTTCTCTCTCTCTCTCTCTCTCTCTCTCTCTCTCTCTCTCTCGCCGAGTGCTCGAGTATCACTTTTCTCGCGACGGACAAGATAAATTTGAAAGAGTCCTTCATTACTTTTCGTAGATTCTTAACGGAGAAGTAGACTAGGCTCTGTCCTACCGGACGGACTTAGGGTGTCCTTGCTTTTGCATGCTTCTTAAACTCCTACCGTACTACAGTAGAGTATTGTAGGAGTTTAAGCGCGCAGCACCTTGTGACACTCGGAACGAAAACTAAAGCAGCTTTTCTGTGGACGGATCAGATGGAAAGTACCTGGTGCTGCCTTCCGGGGAACTGCACATCAGAGACGTTGGACCCGAAGATGGCTACAAGACCTACCAGTGCAGAACCAAGCATAGACTCACAGGAGAAACCAGGTTGTCCGCTACCAAGGGACGTCTCGTCATCACTGGTGAGTTCACTGCCTCAAAATTACGAAATTATTTTCAACCTACGTTTCTGGTCGACGGCAGATTTTTTCATAAGCTTTAGAAATCAATATTTTATCGAAGATACCTCGCGAGATCTTTCCTAATGAAAATTCATGCATTACGAAACGTGAGACCAGAATCGTACTGGGTGCTTCAAATACGGGCAACCATGACGAAGGAGAATGCCGGCATTTTTAATTTCTGGAAGAAATAAAATTTTCATCTGATTCGATATAACTCGTAGTTAAAGTATTTACGTTTGGAAGTGAAGTCCGTGACAAAGGGTAGTCTCTGGTATACCTATAGGTTGGTAGGTGTACGGACGAGACTGTTTAATTATTGTCTTAATTGGTTCAAAGGTTGGCATAATGAATAACTAATGGGATACTGATATATATCAAGCTACACCGTTGCGTAAAACGTCGCCTGTATTCGAAGCACCCACGAACGAAGCGATCGATTCTTTGCTGCCGGTTCTCCGTTACCTCCGTCTGCGGAATCGCCGCTGTTCTTTCCATTCAGCGAGCGTCCTAAATTCCAGTGAACTTTTTTATCACCGCGTCGATAATCGCTATTCGATCTATCGACGCTTTATCGACTGAGCAGAGAATCGAATCGCGCCGAACTTTTTAGAGCTAGGAACGCATGTTCACATTTGCCAGCGAGCTCGGTCCCAGCCGCGAGAACTTTTTTTCTTTTTCTTAAGATTCTTCTGAACTTCTAAACGAAACGAAGCATTAACGCTCGCAGGAAGGAATAAATAATGCGCGGATCTCAGAGGTCTCGTAATTCGAAGAGACCGCAACGCCGAGTACCGAGTTCGTTGACAGCCTGAATGCTGGGACAGGGTACCCCTGCGGGCACGCGCCACCGCCCGCTCAACTTCCCACGAATTCCCACGAATTCCGAGGAATTCCCAGGAATTCCCGCTCTCTCTTATCGTTCATCTCCAAATTCTTTGCTTCGCTCTTGCACTTCGCTCACGTCCCAAGGTAAGTTCTCGTTATGGAGGCTGTCCTAACTTTATCTCTCGTAACTGTCGCAAGGGAAAGACGGACGGCAGGCAGAATCCTGGCCGAGGAGCTAAGCTCGCGTCTTTGAGTCTCAGGGGCCCAGCGAGACCACAGGGGGGCCCGTGCGAGCTCAACCTTTGCTTTTTATCCAGAGCCCGTGGGGAGCGTAAGGCCCAAGTTTCCGAGTCTGGACAACATAAATGGACTCTCGGCTGGTTCGAGGGGCAACGTGCCGCTCCTGTGTCCGGCACAGGGCTTTCCGGTTCCATCGCATAGGTACGAGGTACAAGCTAGAACAGTCCCAAACGAGAGAAAGAACAAACGCCAAGGAAGGGGTCGGTTATACGCGAGGGAGAAAATAAGTAAAGACTCAGAAAAAAAAAGAAGATATTTTAAGCTTATCTTCGTTTATCGTGGCAGTGTAACGCTTAAAGAAATGCTTTGATACTCGAAGAAGAGTCCTTGACCTAGTCTGTCCGAGTGCCTGTCTTCTTCTTCATGTTGGTACCCTATGCTTCCTCAAGATAGATCGGATTCTCTTGTTGGCTCTCATTGGCTCTCGTTAACCTCTTTTATATATTTCTTTTTCGCGATAGAAAATATTTTCTCTCTCTCTCTCTCTCTCTCTCTCTCTCTCTCTCTCTCTCTCTGCAGGACAGCGAACGTCTTCGTCGTAAAGTTATTCGTTTCTAGAGCCCGTGGGAAGTGTTCGTCCGAAGTATCCAGCCACGGACGACATTCGTGGATTTCGAACGGTCGTTAAAGGATTAATCGCACTTCAGTGTCCGGCTCAGGGGTTCCCCGTTCCCATGTACAGGTAGAGATGACGACTTTTTCAAATTCACCCTATTTTTCGTTTTTTTTTCTTTTTTCTTTTTTTCTTTTGGAAACTTCAGAACCTATCGGCAGCGTCAGACCGAAATTCCCGACGAGCGACGACTCTAGGAGTTTTCGCACGACTCGAGACGGCTCGGTTACGTTGCTGTGCCCCGCCCAGGGATTCCCTGTGCCCCTTCACAAGTAAGTCTCGTGCGACCTTTGAACTCATCGGACTTCGCTTTTCGATTTGAATGTCCCCAGAGCCGGTTGGCAGTGTTCGTCCGAAATTCCCAACGATGGACAATTCCCGAGGTTTCACTTCGGTCCTCGGAGGCGCCTTGACCATGCTGTGTCCTGCGCAAGGGTTCCCTGTTCCTCTGCATAGGTGGGCCCAGTTTATTAAAGAATCGCCGCGATCTCCTTGCCCGTAGAGCCTGTTGCCAGCACGAGGCCGAAATTCACGATGAGCGAGAATTCGAGAACTTACACGGTCAATCGCGAAGTAGCCTTGACGATCTTCTGCCCGGCTCAGGGGTTCCCTGTTCCAAATTACAGGTAGATCATTGTTTCTCAGCTTGACAGAGCACGTGTCGTGCTCACTTTGATGTATCGTTCTTAGAGCCAGTCGCTAGCACACGACCTAAGTTTTCCACCAGTGAAAATATACGGGGATACACGGTTCCAATGGACGGCACCATGACGTTATTCTGTCCGGCTCAGGCATTTCCGGTTCCAGCTTACAGGTATACCTATGTAGATAGATTAACAGTGAAAGAAGCCCCAAGTGGTCGGAATTGCCAATTGGCGATTGGCAATTGGCAATTGGCAACTGGCGCTGCCGCGTAGGGTCCTCTGTCGCAGTGCATTCGATTAGGTCTTAAGCCAGCTGAGATTTTTTTGAGTCGGTAGAAAAAGTAAACAAAAACAAAAGCTGAATCTTGTCTCCGGCAGAGCCTGTCGCGAGTACTCCACCGAAATTCCTTAGCCTGGCCGACTCTCAGGCATTCAAAGTAATGGTCGACGGTGCGATCACTCTCTCGTATCCTGCCCAAGGATTCCCCGTTCCGTCGTACAGGTAACTATTGGACGAAGAGCGATATGCCTATACGTAGCTGTCTCTTTCCTAGAACCCGTCTCCAGCGCGAGACCGAAACTCTCCGGCTCGAGCGATCTCCAGCGATTCTCGGTCCAGTCGCGCCGGAGCGTCACGTTGCTGTGTCCTGCCCAAGGATTTCCGCGTCCTGTTTATAGGTACGAGTCCTTTTGGAATTTTTCAAATTTTCTACAATTTTTAGTCTCGCGAGCGCGAGGGGTTCCCTGAATTCAGCACTCGGGATAGGATAAGGACCATGTCCTTTATCGGAGTCCGTTCGATCTTTCTAGAACCAGCCTCCAGCTCGAAGCCACAATTTCCGTCGGTGAACGACGTGGGCTTGCGAGGAGTTAGAGATTCGAGTATTACCCTCCTGTGTCCTGGCCAAGCTTTCCCCGTGGCTACTTATAGGTAGGTGGGTCTTGCGATCAGACGCTTCGAGTCTCTCCCGATTAAGCCAGGAGTATCCTCGTCTCAGCATCACGATACCAAGGTACCTTTATATTTTATTAATTCGCAAGGGATCATGGGTAACGGAAAAATTAAGATTTGAACGTGCCCTTTCCCAGCTTCCCGGCTGCCCATGTGTTCCGTTGAATTGCCAATTTTTGGCTCGGCAGTGTTCCCTTGTCGGGGCTTAATTTTTAGAGCCCGTGGGCTTCGTCAAGCCCAAGTTTCCAACGAGCGACAAGAGTCGGACCTTCGATATCGCCATGGGCAAAGCTGTCCCGCTGATCTGCCCCGCACAGGCTCATCCTGTCCCAGTGATTAAGTAAGTTGCCGGTTACGTAAGGTCTATACACGTCCCGCTACTGAATTGCCAGAGCCCGTGTCGAGCAGCAAACCGAAATTCACGACTATGGACATGATGGCGCTGCAGCCGAACGTCGCCGAGGAACGTGACGTGACTCTGCTGTGTCCTGCTCAGGGGTTCCCTGTTCCTGTCTCAAGGTAGACGATCCGGATGAAATAGTTTTTTGTCTTCTTAATCGCCAGAGCCCGTCTCGAGTACAAAACCGTCGATGACAGCGCTAGACGTTAAATCGACCAACCCTGCCGTCGCTCTGGGACAATCCGTCACTCTCCTGTGTCCCGTCCAGGGCTTTCCTGTCCCAGCGTTCAGGTAATTCATTCTCAAGCGATCTGCTGCTTCAATATTTTTTCATCAGAGCCCGTGTCGAGTTCCAAACCAAAGTTTACCACGGTCGCAGTCAAGGCTCTAGAGCCTGACAGTCGTCTAGGACAGGCAGCTACGCTCCTTTGCCCGGCGCAGGCGTTTCCGGTACCAGCCTTCAGGTATATCCCAGCTATGAAATTGAGAGATTGCTCCTGCGGGGTGACCCTTCCTGGCATTCCGAATTCCATCGGCGTTTCGTCTTGACGTCCTGTGCGCGTAATCCTCTTCGTGTTCAGAGCCAGTGTCGAGCAGCAAACCGAAATTTTCTGGAGTATCCGTAAAGACGTTGGAGGTGACGGTCGCAAGAGAGAAAGACTGTACTCTGTCGTGTCCTGCGCAAGGATACCCAGTTCCAGCATTTAGGTAGGATCTCGTCGCTTAACCCGCAGCTTCTTCTCATTGCCAGAGCCGGTGTCCAGTGCGAAACCCAAGTTCACGAATTCCGATATAAAGGTCGTTAAGCCTACCTCGCATTCGAGCGCGCTGGCGCTTACGTGTCCTGCTCAAGGATTTCCTCTTCCCATAACGCGGTTAGTGCCTTCTTAATTATCGATATTTATTCTTGCTAGAACCCACTTCGAGCGTCAAACCGAAATTCCCCACGAACCACAAGCTCGAGTGGGTAGAAGTTGCCTTGGAACGGTCTACGAGCTTGCTGTGCCCAGCCCAGGGTTATCCGGTTCCAATTTCGAGGTGAGACATCTCATGGATGGGACGCAAGTGTCGTCACGATAACCTCATCCGGTCAAAGAGTTCTTCCTGTCCCGACATTCAGCTTCTCCGCGTAGTCTCCTTGATGTTCCATTCAACGGTTCCTCTTACCGCTTCTAGAACCAGTCGGATCAAAGTCTCCAAAGTTCTCGAGCGACGATACGCTGAGAGCTTTCAATCGTTACAGCGGCTCGGGCGTCGCTTTGCTTTGCAATGCCCAAGGCCATCCGACGCCCAACTTCAGGTAAGATCATCCCTAGACGGCGACGTCACGACTGACAATGACACCATGACCCCGGGGGGACCCTGGTTCGCTTTGCCATTCTCTTAGTTTTCAATTTCCTGAACGATTCTCCTAGAACCCGTCGGATCGAAGCCGCCGACCTTCTCCACGGACGACTCTCTGAGCGCCTTCGTTAGGCGTCGCGGTGCCAATCTGGCTCTCGTGTGCAATGCACAGGGGCATCCTGTTCCAATAGCAAGGTAAAATTGGGATATAAGTCAGTCGACCGGTACGAACGGTTTCAGAACCCGTTGGCGCCAAGTCTCCAAAATTATCCTCGGACGACCTCAGTAGGACGATCAGAAGGCACAGGGGCCAGGAACTGGCTCTGTTTTGCGCAGCTCAGGGGAGCCCTGTTCCAGCCACTAGGTAACGGCAGCAGTCTGCTGCTGATCCTTTTCTAACGTAACGCCGTTCTATTTGTTCGCTGCGATTTAGAACCCGTGGGAAGCAAAGCGCCAGCCTTTGCCGGGGACGTCAAATTGTCCTTGCTGGTGCGACGTGCCAATTTGGCAGTCAGTCTGCCCTGCAGTGCGCAGGCTCATCCGCCACCAGTTACTAGGTAGGCAAGGACCACCTGACTATCGTCATCCACGAAAGCTCACGTGGGGAACCCTGTCCTAAGGAAATGGCTCCTCGTCGACTTATGCCAGTAGTCTTATGCTTATTCGTTATCCTTTAGAGCCAGTCGGAAGCAAAGCTCCTACGTTCCTCGGTGACGTCAAGTCCTTCTTTTTCCTTCGAAAAACGGGATTGGGCCTGAGTCTTCCTTGCAATGCCCAGGGGCACCCGGTTCCAGTCACTAGGTACGATATTACAGAATTTCAAACGTACAGGTAACGAGACTCTTCCGTTTTCCTTTTACTTTTTCAACGACAGAACCTGTCAGCAGCAAGGCTCCCAAATTTTCGAGCACTGCGATTCTCTCCTGGTTCGAAGAAAAACACGGACAAGACTTCTCGCTGTTCTGTCCGGCCCAGGGTTTTCCCGTCCCGGCATTTAGGTGCGCAAAGGATCCTTAGTCAAAAGATTATTTCTCCGATGCTCATGACTCACGAGATAAATGAAATATGCAGAACCAGTCGGCAGTAAGGCACCAAAGTTCTCGAGCAGCAACAAGCTCTCGTGGTTCGAGCAGAGATCCGGCGAAGACTTCGCGCTTTTCTGTCCAGCTCAGGGCTTCCCTGTCCCGGCTTTTAGGTGCGTAGCAAAGGTCTAATTGTAATCATGTCGACGGCGATGAGTGATAAGATCCAAAAAACAGAACCGGTTGGCTCGAAGGCACCAAAGTTTTCGAGCGACGCCAAGAAGGCCTGGTACGAAAGGAGCACCGGTCAGGACCTCACGGTGTACTGTCCCGCTCAAGGATTTCCGGTTCCGTCCTATAGGTAGTATCTGTTCATTTGGTAAACAACGGAAGCATGATCATTTGACATTGCTTAGCATCCGTGGAAAGTCAGTGATCGATATCGCTCGATGGATCGAAGGAAGAAGGAAGTTCCGGTGGTAACCCAGTCCCGGTTCTTAGGTGAATCCCTCGAATGATTGGCCTAATTTTCGCACGAATTCTCTGTTCAGAACCCGTGGGAAGTAAAGCACCTTCGATCCTGGGAGAGAAGGGAAGCTTAATGGAGAGACGGGCAGGAATTTCGATCGTGGTCCTCTGCCAGGGTCAAGCGCACCCTGTCCCAACTTTTAGGTAAAATATGAGAATAACAGAGTCCCAGGTGAATTCAGAATTATAATTGTAGTTTGATTGGGATTTTTCTTCTTTGCATTGATAAAAGAACCCATGGGTAGTAAAGCACCTTCTATCATGGGAGACGCGAAGCGATGGTTGCAAACCCGGACGCGGGCGGAATTGGTGATACCGTGCCAGGCGCAGGCGCATCCGGTTCCGGCATTCAGGTAGAGTCTTTTAATTTCCACCGCCTATTCTCCACCTGGAAACTTTCCCAGAACCGATGGGCATGAAGGCGCCGAAATTCTCAACGGACAATCGCGTCAACTCGTTCTTGCGCCCTGCGGCTGGATCCTTCGGCCTGCAGTGTCCTGCGCAGGGGTTTCCTGTTCCATCGTTTAGGTAATTAAATTCGGAACGATTCGACCAATAACGCTTATGTCGTTTCATTTAGAACCGATGGGATCAAAGGCGCCAGCTTTTCAGAATGACGCCAAGAGTAGTACGTTTTTACGGGGTGCAGGCTTAGCCTTGAGCTTGCTCTGCTCTGCCCAAGGATTCCCCCCACCGATTCATAGGTAATCAAAGATACTTTTCTCTTTTGCTTCTTTGTTCTTTGAAAGGGAGATGATACCCCCAGAGACATGGACCCAAGTGTCTCAGTATTCGGGAACGTCGAAAAATAGAGAATCAATTTTCTTATATTCGGCTCACTGCTAAAAATCGTTAAAATGCATCCGCAGAGCCCGCAGGAAGAGTCTCTCCGAAATTTCCAAAATCAGCGAAAAGCGACTCCTTCGAGGTGGCCAAGAATACGGAACTGAGCTTGCTCTGCGACGCCCAGGCATTCCCTGCTCCCGCTTTTAGGTCAGTCCTGTAAATTGTCACGTTCTTCGTAGAACCCGTGAACGGCGCAGCACCGAAAGTCGCGTCCACCGCGAAGTACGACGTGCTCGTGAGGCTCCAGGGGAAGGAAGTGACGATGCTGTGCCAAGCTCAGGGTCATCCACTTCCTGTATTTAGGTAATTTCATTTCTTGCTGTACACTTTACGACGGTTTCAATTTTCTTTTCGCATCCATGTGGACCGACTCACTTCAGATCGATAGCTGACCGAAACATGTAGATGCCGATCTGCGCATTGACGTCAACGAATTTACAAAAAGAAAATTTTTTTTTTAACATCCAGCGATACATTCAAATGCGAAATGACTTTGTTCGAATCGATTGTCTTACTTGCACGTAACCATCGATACACATATCGGTCTGTGTTTCGATCGACTATCGATCTGAAATTAGTCAGTTGACATAGATCGAAAATATAATATTGAAACAGTCCGGGAGGCTTCAATGACGGAGAGTTTACGTATTTCTCCACTTGACTCTGTGCATTCCTCGTGCCGACGTGTCCTTTGTCGCTACTCCAGGTAATTACTTAGGTAGGTAAGTAGCGTCGCAGTGCCCAGGTGGGCTCCCCTGCTCCCAGATTCAGTTCCGAGTTGTCTTAATAAGTCCAGATTGATATTCATAGAGCCAGTTAACGGCGCAGCACCAAAGGTACCACCCACAGCGAAGATCACGGTCCTCCTGGTCGCTGGCAAGACTTGCGCAGCTTTGCTATGTCAAGCTCAGGCAAATCCACTTCCGATCTATAGGTACGGTCATTGAGTTTATTAGCAGTTGGTTTCCTATTGCATCGTGTAACTCTGCTTCGAGTAGATCGTGGGGCATTTCCTAAGGTGGCTCCGTGTCCACGAGCATCGGGACGATCGACACTCTGCACGTCCCCAGTCGCCGTAAAGATTGTCCTTTTCTATTCTAGAGCCATTGGGAAGTAGTCCTCCTCGTTTGCCGGCCAGATCGAAATTCGATGGCATGTCCAAGCTGCTCGGAGAGACGGCCACGCTGCTTTGCGAAGCGCAGGCTTCCCCAGCGCCACTCTCTAGGTGAGAATCGAACAGGCCACTCCATCCACAAGCACACCGGGCTCCGGTTAGGAGCTTCGTCCCATCGCTTGGTCCTTGTCCGGCATTCGTTCGCGCACCTGTCCCAGTTTCATGCCGAGTAATCATTGCGAAAGGCGAGTCAGGACGAGGGAATCTCTTTGCAGAACCGACCAGCAACGTGAGGCCTCGCATTGCTGGAGAACGATACGAGGGCGGGAAGTTGGTAGCGCTGCCGAAGGGAAGCTTGGGGGCTTTAGGATGCGCGGTGCAGGGCTTTCCCGTCCCGATAACAAGGTACTCGATCGATCCCATCGATCGCACTCTCGGGTCTCCAAGCCGATCCTCCACATGTTCTTCCACCTTGTCCAACGATCTACTGCTCGTCTCGTCTCTCGAGTCCCCCGTTGCAATTTCAGAACCCACGAGCAACGTTGCTCCAAGGACCACAGGAAAGAAGTTCGAAGGTTGGGAGGTCGTGTCAGTGGCTAGGAATCAGACGGTAGCGTTGAGTTATTCGCTTCAGGGATTTCCCGTTCCCATCACAAGGTAGACTCTTGCCTCTTCGTAAGGTCCTCGTCCTCTTTCTCACGTGAGCTCGAAGTCAAAGTGTCACCTATGGACCGGATGCTGTGCCCAGAGGTAGGTGGAATGCACGTTATCGCTCTGTGAGAGATCTTCAGCCAGGAACCTGCTCGGAAGGCGCGGATCGTCAGTGAGTAAGTATGAGAACTCAATGCCAATTAAATGACACGTAAATGTAATCTGAAGCTTGTCGACGGATGACGCCTGTCCAGGATGGAGCCAGAGCACACACGAGGTCAGTCGCTAACGTTAACGAGAAGCTCCAGGATAAATATTTTCCTTGCAGAACCATCGGGTCGCACCGCCCCAAAGGGGACCGGCGACGGTCTAAAGTCCCGCGGGGTAGAGGGCGAGTCTCTGGCGCTGGCTTGCGCGGCTCAGGGGTTTCCTGCCCCTATAACTAGGTACACTTGCCTCCTTCCTACCGAGCCTCCTGTCTTCCCACACTTCTTCTCCTCCTTCTGTCTTCTTCCGAAACCAGAACCACCCTTACCCTCTACCCCGCGTGGGCGGCGGCACCAGATTCACTTAGTCACTTCCCTCGGGCCAAAATGAAACTAGTCCAGAATCTCGAGAACTTGAGGGAATCCTGCATCCTGCTTCCATATTGTAAAAGTACGAGAGCGACCGATTGCGGCTGCGGGTACGCATGACTTTGCGATCGAGTGAAAGCGAGTGAAAGCGAGCGAGAGCGAATGAGCATCAATGGGGATGAAAGAGAAGTAAGAAGGGAAGGAGGATGCATGTCCCTTGGGAGCCAGTAGATCCATCCGGGGCCAATCAGCCGTGTTGGTTTCAGAGCCGACCGGACACGTCACCCGGCCTGATGTGCGACGTGCCAGGCCTTCCCTTGGTTCGCTCGGTTGGGGCCCAGGTGGGCCCAGTTGTCACCTGGGTAGCCCACTCGTCTGCAAAGTCTCTCACGGGCTGGCTGGTGGTAAGTCCCCACGTCGTGACCCGTTCATTCGTTCATCCATTTCATCCGTTTGTTCAAACAGTCGCTCGTCTTTGACTCCGATCGACCTTATCGTTGACCTCCTCGTGCGTTTACACGTTTTTCCACGTTGTTACGTTCGAGAAGCGTCCGCAGTCTAGTTGTCCGTTTAGAGCTCGCTATGATCGTCTAGTGCACCGCCGCCCCGCTCACCACAATTTCGCCGTCATTCTCATTGACCGCTTTCCTCTTGAATCAAAGATTTACCTATTCCTTCGAACCACCACCACCACCACCACCACCACCACCCCCGCAACCGCCACAGCCACCGCAACTTGTTTCCTTAAATGCCTCTCCACTTCACAAGATCCTGCCAATCCCAGTTGCCTGTCAGCAAGTTGCAAATATAAAATCCGCTAAAATGTCGCTTCTTTGCCTTTACGTTTATGGACACCGGGTATGTATTACGTTCGTACGCGCTAGCGCCACACATATCCTGCGTTCGTTCCACCTTTTATTCATTTATTCGTGTATTCATATTTACTTTGACGAATCGGTTACGATTTTATATTAAATCTTGGATCGTGAGAGGAACGTTAACGCAGGACACGTGGGGCCGGTCCCGCACGAATCCAGTACTTCCGACTCCTGAGAGCTCTTTTAATTTTCCACCGGAGCTAGTTTACACGGAATGCGCGCGCACCATCCGAGATAAACCTGATCGACCTATTTCGAGCTGATTTCTCTGTTTCAGATGGTACAAGTTCATCGATGGTACCGCTCGCCGTCAACCCGTTCAGCTGAACGACCGCGTGCGTCAGGTCAGTGGAACCCTGATCATCCGTGAGGCCCGTGTCGAGGATTCGGGAAAGTATCTGTGCATCGTGAATAATTCGGTCGGCGGGGAATCCGTCGAGACAGTCCTCACCGTGACTGCCCCGTTGTCCGCGGAAATCGAACCCAGAACCCAGACCGTCGACTTCGGCAGACCGGCCACGTTCACCTGCAGCGTCGAAGGAAATCCTATCAAGACCATCTCCTGGCTCAAGGACGGAAAGCGTCTTGCGCTGGAAGACCCTGTTCTCCGTATAGATAGCGTAAAGAAGGAGGATAAGGGAATGTACCAGTGCTTCGTGCGAAACGACCAGGAAAGTGCTCAGGCCACAGCGGAATTGAAACTCGGCGGACGATGTTAGTATAGCGTCTGCTTATTAATGCCAGTCGTGATTGACATGTAAGCTGATAAGACATTCGAATCCACAGTCGAACCACCGCAGATCAGGCAATCCTTCACCGAGGACACTCTTCAGCCCGGACCAAGCGTCTTCCTGAAGTGCGTCGCAAGCGGAAATCCGACACCGGAAATCACATGGGAACTCGACGGAAAACGACTATCCAATACCGAGAGGCTTCAGGTCGGGCAATACGTGACCATAAATGGCGACGTGGTGTCCCACTTGAATATCTCCAGCATTCACACCAACGACGGTGGACTTTATAAGTGTATCGCTGCGTCCAAAGTAAGTCTTTTCTTTTTTCTTCTTATCTACAATCATTTCCCATGTCTTTTGTCGTCCATCGAGACAGATTGAAGAATCATACTGATTTTCTGAGCAGGTTGGCTCCGCTGAACACTCCGCGCGTCTCAACGTCTACGGATTACCCTTCATTCGTCACATGGACAAGAAGGCCATCGTCGCTGGGGAAACTCTTCGCGTTACCTGCCCCGTCGCTGGCTATCCCATCGACAGCATCGTCTGGGAACGTGACACCAGGGTACTGCCCATCAACCGGAAGCAGAAGGTCTTCCCCAACGGTACCCTCATCATTGAGAACGTCGACAGAATGAGCGACCAGGCAACGTACACCTGCGTAGCGCGCACTGCGCAAGGATACAGCGCACGAGGAACTCTCGAAGTTCAAGTTATGGGTAAGTCGTAACCTTCCATTTTGACACGTTACAGATTACAGATATATTATACGTCTACATAAGAGACTGGTCCGAATTCGTTGGCACGAATCGCCAGAACAAATGAGCCCGACAAGGAGGCGATCACCTTAACAGAGTGCATCCAAGATTTCTAAGGTCGCAAAGACAAAGACGCCATCGCATTACTCGATGGCGTCCAAGAGAGATCGGTAGTCCGATTGGCTGCAGCATTGAGGCAATTAATTATTTACAGTGCTAATCCCTTACAGCTCCAAGATGTTTTTCTTAACAGAAGGTATTATTAGTCGGAGAATCGTTGGATTTCATCGGGTCAACGAAAGTTCGACAGGAGCGCCTTTTTACTACCGACTGTTTATCGTTAGCGATCACGTGAGACCGACACGGACGGACAAGTAGAGATCTAGACAATCTAAACACACGCACACACGTACACACGACGTGGCGCCAGATCAAAGTAGCCGCGATCCTGATCGCTCCCGAGGCAAAGAGAGATCCGCAAGATTGCACGACCGAAAGACGGAAAAAGGGAGGATCGAAGGATCGAAGGATCGAAGGATCGAAGGATCGAAGGATCTGCAGTAATAGAAAGAGCGAAATGGAAACCGGCAAGGATTTGGTATGGCGGAGGAAGAGTGTCTTAGCTCCGTCCGATTGAAGAGGTCGTTTCTTGCACCCAGTGTCCCCCACGATCCACGAGTTTGCGTTCACGAAGCTACCGATGAACGCCGGGGAGTTTGCGAACCTGCAGTGCATTGTACCGACCGGGGACTTGCCCTTGAACATACGCTGGAGTTATCCCGGAGAAGAGATGGGTGGCGCTTCCGGCGTTATCACGAAGAAGGTCGCGGATCGCGTTAGCATGCTCATGATCTCCGTCATCACCGCGAAACACGCGGGCGAGTACGTTTGCACGGCGCAGAACGCCGCGGGCACGGCGACGCACTCTACGTTCCTGACCGTAAACGGTTCGCGACAATCTCTAAAACAGTTGGAGGAAGCACGGTTTATATCTCATAGCTTGACTTTTTCTTATTGCGATCAGTCCAGGTTTCGATTTGCACACGATTCGATTTTAATTCCAACAATCCGATTTCATCCCCTCCGTGTCTGTCAATTGTCCTTTTTTCTGCACTTGAGAGGCACGATGCCCTGGAAATGGTAGTCGCGATTATAGAGCATGGTGGGTGTCCTATCGACAGTCGGACCGGAATTAGGGCCAATAGCCTTCAACGTAGAAGCAGCGAACTGGGCCGACTCGGTGTCCGTAGCTTGTTCGGTCCTGAAGGGCGACATGCCCATGGACATCTCTTGGGCCTTTCAGAGTCTACCGGTAGACTCGAAAGACACGGGCATCTCTATAACGAGGATCAACAAGCATTTGAGCACCCTGAGCATCGACGGCGTTTCCGCCAGACACGCCGGGGAGTACGCGTGCTCCGCTTCGAATATTGCCGGATCCGTCAGTCGTTCGACGCGACTCGCTGTCAATGGTACGAGGATGGTGACACGACCTCTTGATCTCCCAATGATCTCTCGATTAGATCAAGATTCATTGATAACGTCTCTCTCTCTCTCTCTCTCTCTCCCTCTGTTACATAGTCCTTACGATCAATCGCACGGATCCTCACTATCCAAGCATCCAGTCGCTAGCGCAAGCTCCCTGCCTCTAACCTCTAACCTCTACACCGCCATACCAAGCTGACGCAATCGCAACACGCAAGACACGCACACGTAACGCGCACCGGTAAATGCGTCGAATTCTGCTCACCACGTGGCCATCAATGTCGGAATCTTTCCTAGTCGCTCCGCAGATTCTACCATTCACCTTTGGCGACGAACCAGCCAACTGGGGGGAGCTGGTCTCGGTAACGTGTTCCGCGATAAAGGGCGACCTCCCTCTCGAAATATCCTGGTCTTTCAACGGCGCGCCCGTCGAGAGGCACCGTGGGGACGTTGCCGTCGCGAGTACGAACAAACGAAACAGCGTCCTGAGCATCGAGGCGGTCGCGGCCAGTCACGCCGGCGAGTACACCTGCTCGGCGGCGAATCGGGCCGGTGCCGTCGCACATTCGGCCACCCTGGCTGTCAACGGTACCTAACAGAGAAGCACAAGGCGCACGCGCACACGCGCACACGCGCACACGCACACGCACACACAGAGACACGCCGATCTATCCGATCTTCCCCACGATCATTGCCGATCCTTCCCGATCGTTGCTTGCCTCTCTCTCACACACCCACACCCTCACACACACACACACACGCTACTGCACGTCTCCTGCACTTTCTTTTTCTATCCACCACTGGACCACGCAGTCGCACCGCAGATCCTCCAGTTCTCATTTGGCGACGATCCTCTCAACTCCGGCGAAATGCTCTCCATCTCTTGCACGATCGTCAAGGGCGACTTTCCTGTAAATTTGACCTGGACGTTCGATGACGCACCGATAGACCTACGTCAGTCCGACGTTAATATCGTGAATAACAAAAGGGTCAGCTTCTTGAGCATCGACAGCGTGACGGCCAGACATGCTGGGAGATATAAGTGCACAGCATCCAACGCGGCCGGATCCGACAGTCACACCGCCGTCCTATCTGTCAATGGTAGCACATCATTCCCGACTCTCTTGACTCTCTTGACTCTCTTGCACTGCCTACCTAAGAACTATAACATTGCGCTCGTTAATATTGCCAGTGTATCGCTTGGGCGTATATTATGCTTCCTGAATATCATAAAATCTATTATCTACTCGGAATCTCAGACTTACTTTACCTAGAGGCCTAGGTTATAATCTATTATCTATACGCGTTATATATATATTATCTACGTTATCTATTTTTCTTTTTAAATATAAATCATCGATCGACTATCCACTACCGTCACATCCGTTTCACCATCTGCTTCATCCATCGTCCATAATGACGTCATCCTAGCGCCTCTCTATTCGCACCTGACTCGCCTCACGCGCCTCACGCGTCTCACGCGCCTCACGCGCCTCACGCAATCGAAATTTCAGTCGCGCCGCAGATAGCTTCCTTCTCGTTCGACGACGAAGCCGCCAACGCCGGCGACATGGCGACGCTCCAATGCGCCGTCGTTAAGGGAGACTTGCCTCTGGAGATTAGTTGGTCGCTCAACGCTCGACTCATTGACAGCGATTACCCTGACGTCCTCGTAAGCAGGAGCAGCAAGAGGGCCAGCACCCTAACGATCGACTCGGTGGCCGCTCGGCACGCGGGCGAGTATTCATGTACCGCGAGCAACCAGGCCGGATCAGTCACGCACTCGGCGACTCTTTCCGTGAACGGTAGGGCGCGCCTCCTGCTCCATAAATGCAACCGTTGACCATTCACTCACCGTAGACGGTACGAAGCGAAGGAGATTTTGGTCCACGGACAGCTGCACGGCATGACAGGCACGCTTGGGGTTCCTTTGCTCGATCACGAGTCGCTCCGCCGGAGTCGATCCTTCGTTACGGACTGCGAAAGTCTCTCCTTGTCTCTTCTTCGATTCCTCGATTCCTCGATTCCTCGAGTCCTCCAGCACGTTCTTCATCCGCCTCGTGCACGTTCGCAGTGTCGCCGCAGATACAGCCCTTCGAAATATCGGATGAGCCAGCCAATTCCGGCGACACGATTTCCGTGGTGTGTTCGGTGACGAAGGGCGACTCGCCCGTAGAGATCTCTTGGGCTTTCAACGGGGAACCGATCGAGCGGACTTTTCCCAACGTTATGATCACTAACAGGGGGAAGACCAGCTTGCTCAGCTTCGAACCGGTAACCGCGCAGCATGCAGGCGAATATACGTGCACAGCGTCGAACAAGGTCGGAGCTACGAGTCACTCGGCGCCTTTGGCTGTCAACGGTACACATTCATTAGGAAGTAGAGAGCGCTGCTTAGCGCCTTGTGACGTCACACTGTTCTTCTAATTCTTCCAGACTCCGACTGTTCCGCCTCCCCTCCCGTTCCCCGAATGCCCTGAGAACTCCCTGAGAACTCCCCGACTCGCAGGCTCCGATTGCCATTCAATCCGCATTCGATCTCGACAGTCGCGCCGCGCATCGCGCCTTTCGAAATGTCCGACGAGACCGTAAACTCCGGAGACTCCGTCACGGCCGTTTGCACCGTCGTCAAGGGAGACGCGCCTCTGGACATTAGCTGGAGCCTCAATGCTCTTCCCATAAGGAATAACCATCCTCGCATTAGCATCACGAGCAACAAGAGAAACAGCCTTCTGGCCATTGATTCCGTCTCGCCGCATCATGCCGGCTCCTACACGTGCGTCGCCTCGAACGCAGCTGGCGCCACGAGTTACACTGCGGAGCTCAGCGTCAACGGTACTTGGTACCTTCTGCCACGTCCTTCGTCCTGCTTCCCATTTTTGTGCTACCTCGACATCCTCCCTGTCCAGCCAGCCTATTCGCCTTCGGACGAACCGGTAAAAGTCCTAGAGACTCTCGAGGAAGCGGCTTCCGTGTTTGCGCTCCGCGTCCTGCGACTTTGCCGGGTTTCCTTAGTAGCAAATGAAATCAGTTTCTAAAAGAGGCTGCGTCGCGTTTGTACAGTCGCACCGCAAATCGCGCCGTTGTCGCTCGCGGAGGAACCGGCCAATTGGGGCGATTCGATTTCCATGACTTGCGCGGTTCTCAAGGGAGACTTGCCGATCGACGTGACTTGGTCCCTCAATGGAGAACCCATAAGACTCCGTCATCCGGATCTGAATATCGTCGCGACCACCAAGAAAAATAGTATTCTCAGCATCGAGTCCGTGGCTGCGCGTCACGCCGGAGAGTACACTTGCTCCGTGTCTAACGCAGCAGGAGCCACTAGCCAGTCGGCTACGTTGGCTGTCAATGGTAGGTTCCATCTGCATCCGCTGATCATCTCCGCCATCCGTTCCCTGGGATCCTCCAGCGCCTCCAGCGCCTTCAGCACCTCCGGACGCGCGCGATGCTCTGTTTTCTATTGATTTTCTGCAGCCTCACTTTGAACTTTCTTAAGGAAGGCGAAACTTTGAACAGTTGGCTTGATCAGTTGCACCGCAGATAGCACCGTTCGTTATTGGCGAGGAACCAGCCAATTGGGGTGAGACTGTGACAGCCACTTGCACCGTTATCAAGGGAGATCATCCTATCCAGATCGAATGGGCTCTGAATGGCGAACCCATAGCCCGCAGCGACCCCGACATTTCCGTAGTTAGCACCGGGAAACGAGTCAGTCTGTTGACTATCGACGCAGTGTCAGCCAATCACGCCGGAGAATACACCTGCACGGCCAGTAACGCTGCCGGCGGGACGAGCTATTCTGCCAATTTGGCAGTCAACGGTATCCATCTCTGTGATGACGTAGAGTGCCGGAAAAAGAGATAGGAAGCTGCATGAACCATCTGGATTTTACGTAGAGAGCTAAAGAAAAAAAGAAAAAAGAAAAAAGAAAAAAGAAAAAGAAAAGACAGAAATCCTTCCACCCTTCACTCTTCTTCCCCGTAGCTCCTCCTCGAGCTAATTCTCTACCGACGTGTGTCGTTCTAGTCGCACCTCAGATAGGGCCCTTCTCGATCAGCGACGGTCCAGCCAATTGGGGCGACATGGTCTCGGCCACTTGTTCCATAGTCAAAGGCGACTTCCCCGTAGAGATCGTCTGGCAGTTTAACGGGAAGACCATAGGTTTCGATAATCCGGACGTTACGATAACCAGAATCAATAAGCACATGAGCGCCGTCAGCATAGAATCCGTGGCGGCCAGGAACGCGGGCGAGTACACGTGCGTGGCGACGAACAGAGCCGGAAATGTCAGTCACTCGACGAGTCTCGCAGTAAATGGTATATCTACATGCCGAGAACGTTTGTACTTGCCTATACCTTTGCACAGTCGCTTGGTTGCGCACGCGCCTTACCGAACGCACTTCATTCTTACCTCTGGGCCCCATTTCTTTGATCCCTCTCTCTCTCTCTCTCTCTCTCTCTCTCTCTCTCTCTCCCTTGGATACGAAGCACAGGAAGCGTCGCCGCTTAAGAACTCCTCGCACGCTCTTCAGTTGATCCGCAGATAATTCCCTTCACCTTCGGCGACGGGCCGACCAACTCGGGCGAAGCCATGTCGGCCACTTGCACCATCCTCAAGGGCGACTTCCCCATGGATATCTCGTGGGCTTTCAATGGGGAGCCGCTCGCGGCTGGGAGAACTGACGTCACCGTGACGAACCACAAGCGTCTGAGCGTTTTAGCGATCGACTCGGTCGCTGCGAGACACGCGGGGGAGTACACGTGCACCGCGTCTAATCGCGCTGGTGCTACCAGCCACACGGCGCTCCTCGCTGTCAACGGTACACTCTACTGCACTTGTAAATTGTGGACACGCCTTCACCTAGAGAATAAGAGATCTAGAGAACTATAGAGAAACTTATTCACAGATTACCTTTATCCCGTGACCTCGTGACCCCTCGACTCTCACCTTTCCCCTTCGAACCTTCGTCAAGCCAACGGTTCACGATTGGGTTTAGCTCGTAGGTGGTTGGACAGAAATCCCCGTAATTCTCGTGATTTTCAGTCGCTCCGCAGATAGCTCCGTTCACAATCCGCGACGAGCCGGCCAGTTGGGGCGAAGCGATCTCGGCAGTCTGTACCATCGTTAAAGGGGATTTTCCAATAGAAATCTCCTGGGCTCTGAACGGCGTGCCAATAACGGCCGATCAGTCGGACATTAAGATCCTGAGTTCCAGCAAGCAAGTGAGCTTGCTGACTATCGAAGCAGTGAGCGCTAGACACGCCGGCGAGTACACGTGCTCGGCCTCTAACAGGGCAGGAGCCAGCAGTTCCTCCGCCATGTTGATAGTCAATGGTACACGATTACCTAAAGATCCCTAACTAATTGCCTAACGATCATCTCCGTCCCTGCGCCATCTTCTACCATCCAGATTTCCCTCTGGAAAATCCACGACCAGGCGAATTCCTCCCGACTACATGCTCAGGACTTGCGACGGGCGCATCGATATATCGGTTGAGATCGGTTGAGAAATGTCCTGAGGTGATCACGTGCTTAAGCCCCTCCCCCGATACCTTCGATTCCAGTCGCCCCGCAGATCGCGCCATTCGTTATCAGCGATGAACCAGCTAATTGGGGCGAAGCAGTCTCCGCGATCTGCTCCATCGTCAAGGGCGACTTCCCGATAGATATATCCTGGGCCCTTAACGGGGAGCCCATTTCCTCCGAGCAACCGGACATTAGGATATCCAGTCCCAACAAACGCGTCAAAGTTCTCTCTATCGAGGCTATCAGCGCCAGACACGCCGGCGAGTACACTTGCACAGCCTCCAACGGCGCAGGAGCCACCAGCTACTCGGCCACTTTGACAGTCAATGGTACATGCGCGCACGTGCGAAGCATCCGTCTCTCTTTCTTTTTCGTTTCTCTCTCTCTCTCTCTCTCTCTCTCTCTCTCTCTCTCTCTCTCTCTCTCTCTCTCT